GCCATATAATAGGTGGTGGGCAATATTTAGCCACCTGTTGTAGTTTGTTGACCCTTGGGTTACATGATGCAGCCTTCTCACAACTGCTACCATCTGTCTCTCCATTGCCCTTTAGGTGATGAGTTTTTCTCTTCTTTTCTCTCAAAGCCTTAAGAAATTTGGCCTGGGCATAGCTACTTTTGAATATTGCTTTTGTATTAGCTATATGATGATAGACAAATCATTTATACTCTGTAAAACTGAATTACCCTATTAATAAATTGAGGATAATAATATTTGTATTATCTACTTAAACAGTTATTGTTGGTAATCAAGTGATACTTCCTGTATAAAAGTGCTTTGTAATCTTTAAAGCACTATACAAATCTCAACCATTATTATCAAAGCCCGGTTTTGGTGCACCTCATCCATGAATCTCTCTGTCCTTGCTTCTTCAACTGAATGTCATGGTGTAGATCAAAGACAAGTGGGTTACAGTCAGAAGACCTGGGATGGAACTCCCTGCTATTCCTTGCATCCTATGTAATTGAGTAAATCAATCAACTTCTTTATGATTGTTTCCTCATCTAAAGCTTATCTCAGATGATCTCCCTTTACATCTGAGATCCTACAATACTCTATCTTCCAATTTTCTTAGAACACTTTTTCTTGACCCTCCTTTTATCCTGAACATATTTTTTATTCTTTTCATATTTTAAAGTCTTATTTATATATCACCTTATTCTTAGATGACAAGTTCCTAGAAGGCAATGAACTTTTCTTTTTTCTTTTCCCTCCTTCCTTTCCTCCTTCCTTCCTTCCTTCCTTCTTCCCTTTTTTCTGTTGTTGATATTGAATTCAGTCAGACAGTCAGTCGGTAAACATTTATTAAGCACCCACTATAAGCCAGGCACTATGCTCATCTCTGGAGCTACAGAGAAAGGCAAAAGATAGTCCCTGCTCTTAAGGAATTCACAGCCTAATCAAGGAAGTGACATGGAAACAACTATGTACTAACAAGCTATACTAGGATAAATTGGAGTTAACTGACAGAGGAAAGGTACTAGCAGTAAGGGAGATTAGGAAAAGTTTCTCATAGAAGGTTGAATTTTAGTTGAGATTTGAAGGAAGCTAGGGAAGCTAGGTGGTAGAGATGAGGAGGCAGAGTAGTCTAGGTATGTGGGATAAGCAGCAAAAATGTCTCTCTGATGATGGCACTTCCGGTATGAAAAATGGCAAAAATGCTGTGACCATGGATTGAAAAGTAAGCGGTTGTGGTGGTAATGGGGAGGGAGGGAGGTGTAAGAAGACTTAAAAAGTAGGAGGGGGTCAAGTCATGAAGGATTTTGAATGCCAAACAGAGGATTTTATATTTGATCCTGGAGTTAATAGGGAACAACTGAATTTTATTGACCGGGGAGTGGAGGAGGATGACACTGTCCAATCTGTGCTTAAGCAAGATAACTTTGACAGCTGAGTGTTGAATTGGTTGATGGTTGGTATCCTGCCCATAACTGGATCTCTGCAGTGCCCATTGCCACAACCAAACAGTGGTTAAATCACTTTTAGGGTGAGGGATGGTTCTAGTTCTATTTTACCTTTTCCTCAGATGATAAGGGGTATTGGGGTAATATAAAGTGGTTAGACAATGGCTTTATGTCTTAAAATGTAGGCCTTGGCTTTCTATGTAAAGGTACCTTGGAAAATTTGGGAATATTTTTTGTCAGCTCTTTCTTCTTCTTTGTCACATTAAAGATATTTTTCTCAGCAGGAGTTTTAGAATAATAACTGTGAGTCAATATAATTGGCAAAAATAAACCTGATTTTTTTAATCCTAAAATTGTTTAGGCTTAAATTAAAGTAAATATGAATTTAAAAATTTCTAGAACACCCACACACACATATACAATACTTATATGTATACACACACAAACACATATGTGTATGTATTTGTATATAGTACTACAATGGATAATTCACACCGTGAACATGTCAAAACTTAATAAACCTAGGAAATTTTGTATGTTTCTGTTCCTTTATAAGTGAAGTCTGGCTAAATTTCAGAGCACCCAACACCACTTTCAGCTAAGAAGGAAGATAAGGAAATGGGCCTTGTGTTGTTTTCAAGGCCCATCAGGGCCTGGAAGGATTTAGATTTTGCAGCTGTAGCTTAGGGGCAAAAGTGGGGCATGGCAAGACTATATATGTAACTGCTATTTTATTTTGACATTGAGTGGAATTTCCAAGGCAAATCTGAGGGAAATTTTAAACTGATCATTTTTTGAGATTCTGATCACAGATCAATAGCCTTTCTTCATGTGCCAAGAAATTTTAGAAAGACAAATATTTCTACTGAATTTAACATTTGTCCCTTTAATCTCAGTTTTCACAGTGTCAGGTTAAGTATTATATGCCAATTAGGGTATCAAGGAAGGAATTTGGTTCACAAATTTATGTTAATTATAGTACACATTAAACATGTATTGATATTTTCTTCTCATTTTGCAAAATTTATTCACAGTTATTGGTGCTTATCAATAAAGATTTGACAGTCTGGTATTTTTTCTTACTTGATGGTTAATTTCCATGTACATTTCTTTCTTCATATAAAAACCATCTTTTTGTGACTACATGGAACTCTAGGCAATGCATATAAAAGAAAAGTTTTATTTTCTGATCGAATGTGGAATACCAGCTCAGTAATAATTCAGTTCTCTGGCTGCCGTTGGGATCCATTATGGTTCCATTATGCCTAAAAATGACTCATAGAACAGTAATAGTCCAGTGGAGCAGTAAGTTGCTAAATAAGACCCTAGTGGCCTAAAAGAGTTAAAGCAGCTTCTTAGGGTAGATTACTTTTAACCAGTTTAGGCCCAGAACAATATACTTTTTTTCATCTATTAGACACAGAAATTGTTCTTGAGAAAAATGATACCATACTTTGATGTCACTTAACAATCCATAGAAGAACAGCAAATGATTTTGCCAATGAGTCAAATAATTTATTACTTTAAATTGGTATACCAAGAAAGGCATTGTGGCAATGGAAAAAGAGTTGGTCTTAGAGTCACCTGGATCCAAGTGTTGTCTCTGACATATATTAGTTGAATCACTCAGGGCAAATCATTTAACCTTTTAGTGCTGTAGTTAGTATCTCTAATACTTTAAGGTGACAGCCTGCATTGCTATGGAAGGTCTCACTGGAAGCTTGCTATGCCAATTAAATTATGGGTCCAGTCCCAGTTCCTATCCCTCAAAAAGCCTGTGCATGTGTACAGCAGATGACTTTATTATCCTAATATACCATTGCAAGCAAAGATATAGAAAAAGTATAAGAGACTCAGAGTCTGTGCTGGAATAATACTATCACTTGTTGATCCTGCTTTGGTTTCTGGGGGATGGAGTTTTCCTAAAAAACAACATGGCCTTCACATCTGTGGGCTGTATACTGCTTACATAAACACTGGCTGAATTTTACATAGTTAAGAGTGTATATGCAAACAACTATCATTCTTTTGGGTTAAAGTGTTAAGGAGGGTGTTAGACATGTAAAAAATATGAAAAACAAAAGTTATATAGGATGTGATCTTGATGTTATGCAAACAAAAATGGAATCAATGCAGACTAGTTCATGAGACGAGGTAACACTACCAAACAAAACAAAACAAAACAAAACAAAACAAAACAAAAACCTTGCATCAAGTAAGACTACAGTGTTACTTCAGCCCCTTTTGACAAGAGAATGACAATTGGAAAATTCATTTCAACCATAAGGCAGTTACCGAAATGTGGAAAACAAACCTGCTGAAAGGGTTTATATGAAACAAATTTGTTTCCTACTTTAACATTTCTGGTAAATATAACACAGTTTCCCTCTCTCTACTTCCTTTCCCAGTACTGATTCTGCTGTTTGTTATTTGGATTGAGTTTCAAAGTATTTCTTAGAAGCTTGGGAAGGAAGAAAGAATTCCACTGGTCAGTGGATGAGCTTAGCACTTGACATCTAGCAGCAAAATTTGAAAGTAATGGGAAAAAAGTAATCCTGATCATTTCCAATTAAAAGCCTTTCCTATGATGTTTCTGGTTAACCTAACTGGCATTAGTTCAATTTTCTTTACAAATGCACTACTACTCTTGCCAACTCCCCTGTAATTTCCCTAAAAGCAAGCACCAAGAGAGAACACCATTGATCTCTTCTTCATATTCAATACCACATATCCTTGTACCAGGCATTAAAAGTACTTAATACTTGCTAATTGACTAGCTATTAATCAGAATAAACTTTTATATTTCACAAAATTTACTCCTCAATAACAAAAAAGAAACACAAACATTCAATGAATTCCAAATTGCAAAAATAGCAAATGTACACTATTGTCAGCAGTGCCATAATATAATAAAATCTTTGAAAGAGCAGTTGGAATTTGAGACCTCCACCATGATTCAGTGGTTACACACCAGAGCTGGTTAGTTTGAAGTCTCACCTTTATTTGCCTCAGGGTTCTTCCTCTGTGTGTTCAGAGCAGCATTCAATATGATGGTGTTGGGGAGATGAAAGTGAGATAAGAGGAAAGTGGAAAAGAACATGTATTGGAAGACAAGTTTAGAGAAGAAGAGAGGAAGCAACACTGAATTAGAGAAAATGAAAGAAAAAGAGAAGAGAAATTGGATAGACAGAAATGTTAAGATTCAGAGGACCTGGGAGAACAAACACACAAAACTGAACTTACCTTTACATTGTAAATCTATCTTTTAAATTTGCTTTGTGTTATGTTTTGTTGAAGGGCATAAAATGTTATATTCATTAACTGAATTATTCATGCTGCAAAATTATTTACTGCAATAGATGGCAAATTTTCATAAAAGAATTTTAAAAAACCATAAATATTGATGTTCTATGAATAAAGCATGCATTGATATGACTTCATATGGAATATGGAATTGACATGATATTAGAAGGACCTTATTATTCAACTGAGTTAAACAATTAATGTTGAAAGAAGATTTGCAGACATACTCACCCAACAGACAGGAATGGCTCCTTTGATTCAAGTCTATCAAGTAAATAACACATATTTTAAAATATATACACTGATAATAAACAGTATGCTAAGCATTTGCAAGATGCCTTTTCATGGAAACAGTAAAATTATTGAATCTGCAGGCACATAAATGCATAATTTAGCAATTCTGAATAATCAGAAAATATAAAATTAATTCACCCATTGTGAAGTAGAATTATTTCTTTCTGGGTTAATATAAAGTCTATCTGAAATGGAAGAACGCTCTCATTTAAAGGATAATTCTGTGTGAGCATAATAATAATAAATAAATGGATAGAATAATATCTGTATTCAGTATATTTACTATTCATGAGAAATTTCTTCATAGAAGGGTCCATATACTATCTCTTTATGATTTAACAATAATAATAAATAAATTTATATTTCATTTGACCAGACTTCAATTCAATCACTAATTGCCTTGGTATATAAGGTATGTATTTTGTGTTTGTTGGTTAGTCATTTTTAGTTATGTCTGACTCTTTTTGATACCTTTTGGAGTTTTCTTGGCAGAGATACTACAGTGGTCTGACATTTCCCTCTCCAGTTCATTTTGAAGATGAGGAAACTGAGGCAAACAAGGTTAAGTGACTTGCCAAGGGTCACACAGCTAGTAAGTATCTGAGGCCAGATTTGAATTCAGGAAGATGAGACTTCCTGACTCCAGGCCTGGCACTCAATCCATTGAACAACCTAGTTCCCTGCTATGCTACCCAGCTGCATAATTCCGTCATGCTTTTAGGAGGCCTTTTAATAAAACTTCACTCATGTTTTCAGGAGTAATTTCTTCCAAAAATAATTTGCATCCAACAATGGTCAGATCAACTCCATAGGGCAATTCTTTGCTATTACTATTTGTCTTGAAATAAACAATTTCCAAAATTCATCTTCTATGAAACAGGATTTTTTTTTTTAGAACCAAACCCTATTCCATCACAATGTCCATTTTCATTCAGAATTAAGAGTGAATCAATGCAAGTTTATTTGTCAGGAAAGAAGTAACATATTAATGAACTGTATTTCTGTTTTGCCTCTTGTTATAAATTATAATTCTTTAATTAACATGTCTGCCTTAACACCATTAGAAAATAAACTTCACAAGGCATATTTAATTCTATAGAATAAGACTCAAGAAACACATTTTTGTATGCAAAGAGCTCTTATCCTGTACATAAAATTGGCCCTGGCAATATAAGCCTAAACGTAAACACAATTTATTAAATTTTTCACTAAGAACTTTGTGTTAGATCTTTATTACACGTTACAGAATTCACCTCTTTCTATTGTATTTATTTTTAAAGTCACTAAATAGCAAGATTATCAAGTAACTACTATAGGAATAATATTACACATAGCATTTTATATATCCCATTTTAGAGATATAAACTATAGATAAGAAGGAAGGGACATCATTTGATACCTAGATTCCATAAGAACTAAGTTGAAAAAAAAGAAGCCAATAATTGTCTTTAGTATGGCCTTTATGGTACTAGCTGTACCATATGACACCGGACAAGTCACAATTTTTTTTAGGGCTCAGTTTCCTTATTTTTAATATGAGGCAAATAATCACACTAGATAATCTCTATGATATTTTCCAGATTGAGAAAATATGTTTCATGAATTAATAATTTCTAGGTCAATAATTTCCAGCAGTAAACCAACTATCTACTTGACAGGTCAAGACTTTTGCCCTATAAAAATGGTACTTTTTAATTTTCTTTTTGTAAATGTTTTAAAATGGGACAAAGTTTAATCCAAATAAATACTGTTAAAGATACTTCATGAGTTTTTGTACGTATTTTAAAATGCTTTATGTCAAATACAAGTAGTACTTTTAGTGATTTTCTTAGAAATTTTAACCATCAAAAAGCCCCAACACACATTTGTTGCTCTCTAGAATTTTACTAAAGCACCAATATACAAAATAATTGTAATCAAAGGAAACCTTATAAAATTTCTTAAACTCCTTTCCTGTAATGATGCTGTCGATAATTTTAACCTAAACTGTTAAATTTGTCCCAGAGACAAATTTTTTTTAATGTATTTAAATTGTTTTCTGGCTTATGAATCTTGATAGTAGCACACAAAATATGTAATTTTTTTCTACAAATTTAAAATTTTAAAGTCATTCTTTATTCTTCCTTCTCCTTTATTCACAATTCACACATACCCTTCTCACTAATCACAGAGCTGCCACCTCAGTTCAGGATCTTATCATTTCTTGCTTGTGTTATTACAATGGTCTCCTGATTGGTCTCCCTGTCAGAAGTCTTTCCCCACTCTAATCCATGCTTCGTACAGTTGTCAAAGTGATTTTCCTTCAATGCAGCTCTGACCATATTACTCCTCTATTTAAGAAACTCCAGTGGATAGGCTCTCTTTTGCCTCTAGGATAAAATATAAACTCCTCTGGCAAGTACTTTTCATTTTGGACCCTCCTTATCTTTCTAAGCCAGTTATACATTATTTCCCTTCTTATACTAGTGATCCAGCCATCTGCTTCTCACACATGGCAATTTATTTTCTGTCTCTGTGTTTTGAAAAGAGCATCCTCCAAACTTAGAACACACTTACTTTTCACCTTTACCTCACAGAATTTCTCTTTTCTTTAGAGACACAGTTTAAACCACCTTTTACATGAAGTCTTTCCTGATTGCCTCAGCTTCTGGTGCCCTCCCTCCTTAACTGCCATATACATATACGATTAATTTTTTTGTCTTTGTAGCCTGATCACCTGGCATGGTTGTTGTTCAATTGTTTCAGTCTTGTCCAACTTTTTGTGACCCCATTTCAGGATTTCTTGGCAAAGATACTGGAGTGGTTTGCCATTTCCTTCTCCATCTCGTTTTATAAATGAGGAAACTGGGGCAAACAGGATTAAGTGACTTACCCAGGATCACACAGCTGGTAAGTGTCTGATGCCAGATTTGAACTCAGGTCACTGAATCACCTAGCTGTATGGCATATGGTAGGTGCTTCATAAATACTTGTTGATTGAATGGTTCTCCATCTCCATCAAATTTTCCTCTTACACATCTCTTGCATATGCCCCAACCTCTTTACTACTACAATGACCGTTATGGTCTAGGGCCCCATAATTTTATGCTTTTGTTATTTCTAAAGACTTCCAAGTGGCCATTCTGATCCTGGTCTCTGGCTACTTCTAATTCACAATTCACATTACTGACAGACTAATTTTCTTTAAATGTTGTTTCATTAAATGAAGTTCCTGATTTAAAAAAAAAAAAACTAATGGCTCCCTATTTTCTACTGAATGAAATCTAAATTGGTTTTCAAGGTCCTTCATGATCTGGCCCAATGTACACATTTACTCTTATTTCACACTATTTCCCAAAATATACCCTTTATTTTAATCAGGTCAGTTTTCTCACTCTTTGCCAAACATTTTACACTAATTTCTGGCCCTGAGCCTTTGTACAAATTATTTTATTAGCTTGGAATGCCCTCACTTCTCATCTGTAAATATAGAAATCTAGCACTTTCCTGAAAGCTCAGCATGAATTTCTGAACACCTACATCCCTTATACTGCAAACCACACAATTTAGCATTTTCTGCATTGTGCTTTTTATTGTTCTATAATTTTGAATTGTGTGTGTGTGTGTGTGTGTGTGTGTGTGTGTGTGTGTGTGTGTATGTATGTGTGGTGTGGGGAAATGATCCAGGGATATTATTGAGTGCACACACTTTTCAAGGTTAAGTTTAGATATTGAAAGAAAGTTTGAGGAGAAAAATATCCCCATAATTATCCTGATTTTTCCCCTAGATCTAGGAAAAGACAATAAGTGGTGCGTCTTGTAGAAGCAGTGCTGAGGAAATTACAAGCTGGACTCTGGTGTGAGTAGCACTGTACAGTGATGACCTATAGAATGGCAAGAAAGTTCCTGTCTGATTGAACTAATGAGCAATGTGGTACACCAGCACCTGCAACCGTGGCCCTTTCTGTAGTCATTCAATTCATGGGGAGAACTCCCTACCAGTGCTGACTCTCCTAAATTAACTCACTATATCCTTCCTTATATGAGGGAGAAGTTGGGAGCAGGGGATTGATAAGTACTTTATGTTTATGGACTTTATGTTAATTTCATACCAATTGGGCTCTATCAAGACTGAGATTCTGACCTGGGGTTTGGGAGCACTCGAGACCTTTGAAACTTCTATAATACATGTGTACGTTAGTTAATTTTATTATACCTTTACCTAATCCAATTAAGCAATTTACTAAAGTTATGATGTTTAAACAGAGGTTTTGATTGATGCAGATGGTAGGAAGAAATAACTGGAGAGAGAAGCTAGACAGAGGTATAAGTCATTAATTGAATGAGTCATATTTCCTAAACATGGAGTTGGAGTGACGGTATTCATTAATAACCATTCCTTTCCATAGTCCTGACACCTGACTACACATAGTATTACTAGCACTTTATTACAAAAGTTGTCTAATTTTCCAATGTTCCATATGTATATTTTTCAATATGAGGAAATATCATTTAGTCCCTGTCTATCTCAGTTTCCTCACCTGTACTACTGGGATAATAATAGTACCTACCTCACAGGTGACAATCAAATGAGTTAACATGTGTAAAGCACTTTGCAAAACCTATAAAAAACTGTATAAATGCTATACTATTACTACTATTACCCTAATGTGTTTGAAGTAGACTGGGGATAGGGGTTATGGGAGTTGAGGCGGTTGAAGAAGTAGGAGTCCAAGGTGTTTAAAGGGGTGAGAATTAAAGCAAAGAAGAAAACTATGAGACAAGAATTGAACTTATTGCAGAGGGTTGGAGATCCACACAAGGTAACTTCATGGACTAGGATAGGATGGAGGGAAATTTGAACGATAAGAGGTGTACCTTGAGTAATGGTGGCAGAGGAAGTGTCTTAAAGTGGCAGTGGTGAACAAGGCATATGCTTTGTTCTCTTGCTAGTCCCATCTCAGAGGGTGAGAAAGAAGGGCTAGTCAACC